TACAGAGCTAAAGGCAAAACCTTTAGCCAGTTAAGGCCAGTTTCGGATGTTAGCTTAGTCAATTTAGTTTTGAGAGTTCCGTTAGCTCTTTCGACTATCCCTCCCGCCTGGGGGTGGTAGGCACAGTGGAATTGTTGTTGGATGTGTAACACCTCACATAGTTCTTTGTTGATTTTCCCTACAAAGTAGGGGCCATTGTCTGAACTAATCTGTCGAGGCACTCCAAACCTCGGTATGATCTCTGTCAGTAGTAATTTTACCACCATTGAGGCTTTATTATTAGTGGTTGGAAAGGCTTCAATCCATCTGCTAAATACATCAACAATAACAAGACAGTACTTATAGCAATGTACACACGGCAATTCAATGAAATCAAGCTGAATACACTCAAATGGGCCACCTGGCAAGGGTGTTTTCCCTGTTACGCAACGCATTCCTTGGCCGGCATTATTTTGCTGACATGTCAGACATGACCTGACACGCTTCTGGGCTGCCTCAGACAATCGGGGGTGCCACCAGGTACGTAACATGATATTACTCATTCCCTCCTTGCCAAGGTGGGTATCAGTATGAAGACAGTCAATAAGCATCGGTAACAAAGCATCAGGTATACACACTTGGCCAACTGGAGTGATCCAGAGACCTCTTGACGCAGAGTGCGAACACCCATGCATCTTACATATTTCTTTTTCTGAATCAGAGGCGTCCCCCTGTAAACGCTGCACAGTGACAATGTCTGGTATGCCCGTTGTGTTCGAGGCAGGTGAGCGATTTAACACCTGCCGGTTCATAGAGGACACAATAGAATTGTGTGCTGTTGCAGCTTGATCAGCTCTGGCGTTGCCTTTGCTGATATCTGTATTGTCCATTATGTGGGCCGCACATTTGATTATGGAACAATATTGGCAGACCAGACATGTCAGGAGGTACCTCCATTTTATTCCCACGTGATAAACCGGCTTGACACTTCAACCCTTATTCCTTATTTTGCCTCTCCTTTCTCAATCTTTCCTGTTCTGCTTTACTCATATCATAATCCTCACACCGCTGCTTCAACAGCTCCCACGACTTAGGGTTTCCCTCATGATCACATACTCTAATCCCTCTCCGACGTGCATTCTTCTCCCAGCTGGCCTGTTTAGATTTATTCATTACTTCCTCAGCAGTCTTTCTCCACGTGGATATTAAAGTTTTCCATTTTGACCCCATATTACGTTTCCAAATTGCCTCTTCCGCTTTTATGCATTTATCTACGTCCCAAGTTCCCCCTATTGGCCAAATTTCATTTCCCAATTTCTTATTTAGGCATGCCGACAGACATCTGAACCGTTCTTCATTTTCGGGGTCATCCCGACATAACCGATGTAAAGGGGTTCCGACACCCGACTTATGCAACGTCTGTCCCATTTTAACGCTTCAACTTCTTACTTATCTCTATATACTAGTCCAGTGTCCTTGGTCTCCTCACCCACTTCAGGGTCCTGACCTTCGCGTGGGGGATTTCCCCTCTTAACAACCAGTCTAAGGCAGGGTGGTTGAGACGGACACTGTGGTTATCCTTTACCTTAGGTACTACATTCCAGGGACTCGAACCCCGGTATTGGAGGACTCTAACCTCCGAATTCCCAACACCTACAGTTAGGAGGACTCTAACCTCCGAATTCCCGACACTTACAGTTACGAGGACTCTAACCCCCAAATTCCTGGTATTTACAGTTAGGAGGACTCTAACCCCCGTATTCCAGGGGGACGCTAACCTCCCTGAGACGAACTCGTCAGCGTACAAGTGCGTAGGTTATCTCGGAGATTCCGTCACTACAGAGTTCTAGGGGACGAGGGATCTTCTGAGTGATAGGTTAATGAGAAAAATCAAGGTAAATCTTACCCTGTGGGCCCATCTGTCTCACGTCACCGTCACACAGGCGATCACTTATTCAGTCCGTCTAGAAGTTCCGTATATGTTGGAATCCCACCGCTGCCACCAAATGTTGAGTTCCCTTTTAGGAGATTCCTTCGCACTTGATACAAATGCAATACGCCAACTTCTGTGAAAAGCCACAGTTTATTTAAGCAAGTACAAGCTTTGGAGGATCACTTAGCAGTCTTCGCAGGGCTTGCGGAGCCGTGTCAAGCGATGCTCTCTGTAAGGGAACCGTCCTCCCTTTATATAGTTTTTTACAGCACAGTCAGACATGCATACAAGATACAATTTTTTTCTCCCCCATAATCACGTAACTTAATCATCTAACAGTAAAACAAAGGTTAACTGCCCAAAAACAATGTGTAAGTTGAGCTGGTTCCTTATCCTTTTAGCATTTACAGAGAGCAGAGTGTAATTAGATTATCACCTTTTGTCTGCGAGATCTTTTTAGCCTTAGTTCAACATTTACAGAGAGCAGAGTATAATTAGATTACCCCATTTTGTCTGCAAGACAGGGGCGCCCACAAAGCACCTAATTTCTTATATGTCAGCAGAACAGATATTAACGCTTTAACATTTCACTGGTGGCTGCAGAAATGGCAGAGGACAATCCTTAAAATGTAGGGACTGGTGGGGTGGAAAGTGAGGAAAAGAGGAACCCAGTTGTTGTTGTGGAAGGGAGAGGTATGGGTGAGAGCAGAGGTGGTTGAATGTTTGAGGGTCGTATCAAACATGGTGGCGTGGACTATCCCTAGGTGAGCAAAAATATCATACTAGAGGCCAGTGCAAGGTAATATCATCAGACCAGATGCAACAGAGACCCCCTCAATATTGCCGACTGATGCTTCAGCTTTAATATTGTGTATGATATCAAAGATCCATTGAGGTAGAACAATAACAAAATAAGATTCTTTTACATTAAGTTTGAAACACACATACTTAAATTCAAGAGAAGGTTATTGAGGTTAAATAAAACCAACTACAGTATGTAATATGTGAGGAACAAATCATGGATCCCTTGAGCACGGAAGCAGGCCATCAAGTCCATACTGATCCTCTGAAAAGCACCCCATCCAAACCCAACCCCTATCATTTCCCTATATTGACCATGGCTAATCCACCTACCTTACACTTCTCTGGATACCTGGGCAATTTAGCATGGCCAATCCAACTAATCTGCACATCCTTAGACTGTGGGAGGAAACCCACACAGACACTGGGAGAATGTGCAAACTCCACACAGTCACCTGAGGCTGGGATTGAACCTAGGTACTTCATGCTGTGTTGTAGCAGTGCTAACCATGGAGTCACTGAAGATTGTTTGTGAGAGTGGAATAAATGGTGTGGAATTTGATAAGAGGTGACAGCCACTGAAAGAAATGCTTTAAAATTAATAATGAAAGTTCATTCAATGGGAGACAAATTCCTCAGGAAAAGTGACCCATCTGTGGCTGACTAAAATTCAGGATAGTATCAGATTAAATTAGCCGACGTGTAAGAATAGTTAAGTCCAGGTTCTGGAGCACAAGAATAAGCCTTATTACAATTGGACAGGAACAGCAGAGGTCCTGCTGTGTGGATTCATGGTCTTCAAACGTCAAAGGAAGGAGACTTGATGGGCCGAAAGACCTCCTGTGTGCTAAATGACACTGAAATTGTTTGGAGGGAACAAGATGGAAGATTTCCTGAAATAAAGCGGCCTGTGTGTGATGAGAGTAATGTGGGTCAATGCTCTCTGCAGTTGGACTCCGGGTGAATTGTGTTCTTAGTGAAAGGAGGAGCAGCTACTCCATCTACTCTCCATGGCTATCGACGCTCAACTCCTCTACCTGGCCGTCGGGGCGGTGTTCGATTGGTAAAGGCTGCAGGAGGCGGGATGGGAACTGATGGACAGGCAAGGCCACCAATGGAGAGCGGAGACTGGGAAAGTGGACCTGTGATTGGCGGAGACTGGAGAGGACGGGACGTGGAACTGAAGCGGCGAAAATGAGGTGAATGAGGGAGAGAGGGCAGGAGAGATGAGGGGAGTGAGAGGGACAGAGAGAGGGCAGGAGAGATGAGGG